CACCCCTCCTAAAAAGGAGTTTTGTCCCCAAAACTCAAATTGAGGACCATATCAAGTGGTGAATGGCTTCACACAATCCAAGACAAAACAATTGCCTCATCACTTTCTAGGAACAGAACACGGCCTATTACGCTTCCGCTGCGCCACTCTGATATCAAATCACAATTAATCTTAAAAAGCAAAACATTAATCACTTAACAAGATTTGCCATCAAATAAGCTACTGGAGGCTGGGGTAATACGAAAAGCACAAGGAATAGAAATAAATCCTGCCAAGGCCACAAAAGAACAATTGTGGGGTTACGCTACGAACCCATCACAAGACGAGTTAGTAAAGAATGGCATGGATTTAAAGACGAACACAACAAAATTTCAATTCTATCAAAGATGGATAAGCATCCAATGGATATACGAATCATGAATGAATGAACAAGTGCATGGATGCCTTATAAATTATGCCACAAAACAAGGTTAACCAGAACCAAGATCATATTTAACAAGGCAACTGAAAAGACAGATTTTAGCAATTAACAAGAGTTAAAAGCTAAGACCATCAAAAGACATGGAAGACTCTCAAGAATTGCAACAAAATAAAATCAATAGAAAATATGAATGCTTGGAAGAATATCGGAACACAAGGGTGCAAGGTAGAATGCCTCAAAAATTTAACAACAAAATGGCATTTACCAAGAATCAAGATCAAATTTAACCAAGCAATCAAAATTGAGAGACGAGCTAATCATGAAACAAGCAATAGAATTCAAGAATTAGGCCCACAAAAAGATTTCAATAATGACAACCAGAACACTGATTCAAGAGCAGATATAATCAAGATGTCAAGATTTAACACCCTAAGTAACACGAATTAATTTACAGAACAAAGCAATGACTGGGATCAAGATGCTTAGAAGATTCATGTCTTCCAATTAAAAGGGCAAACAAAAATCCAAGCAGCCAGATCAAAGAACCATTTCACTTGGAACAAAACTCTAGGGTGTCAAGTACTTCAAAGATTACCCCTTTACCTCGTAGCTCATGGAGGCTAAGTAGATTTACAATCAAGTCATCCTAGACATCTTAGAGTCAAGTCAAAGCTACGACATCAAGGATACCGAGATTAACACTTGCAAGAGACAGGAATTAGGATGCCTCATATAGGTATTTCGTCACCCCTCCTAAAGAGGTGTCCATATGAACAAAAACCAAGAATCAAGAAGATCAACAGGTATACTGCAACAAGAACTAACAGAACATGCAGGATTTCAGCAAGAGCAGTATACCGAATTTGAGCAAGAGCAAGAGTCAAGACAAGAATGGTTTTCAAGGACAATTCAAACTAGATTCCAAAAACAATGCAAGAATTAATTTCAAACAAGTATCCAGATAATGAGGATTCCAATAATCATTATCCATTTCCGGATTTCAGTTTCAAGAACAAGTACAAAGCAATATCAAGAAAGATTCAAGATGGATTTCAAGAGTTTCAAGCAATTTCCAGATATCAAGAATGTAGAGATTGGCAACAATAGAGAGTTTAATTTTATGATAACTTGCCAATCTTCACAAAAATATGACAATTTCAATTGAATGATCACTGCTCTTGATTAACCAATACAGAAAAATGAGCCACATGAAAAGACCACGAAGCTCCAAATGGAAAAGTGAAATTTCACTATAAGACTTTCAGAAGATAAGGAGCAACGGAATTACCAAGTTATCCAGCTCCTAAGACGCGGCTAGAAAACACACAACATTTGCTAAAATAGCCTGGAATCTCTTACAAAGTAGAGGGTTTACCCATCCTCCACTGGTCATGTGACAAACAGAACAAATTCTCAACCAGCTATGCTGTAGAGACCAACATGATCAATAACAAAAGATCTCTGCAACTCCCCAGATTTCACAATTGTGGCAAAAGAGCACACAAAAATTCTATTCAAATAACAAGTCTAAACAAGTGCAGACTATCAGAAAATGACCAAGTTCAAAACAAAGTCTTAAGAACATAACGGGCAAGATCACTTTCACAACTTCACACAGAGTATGAAGGCAAGAAACAAGAACAATCAGATTACCATCTCTTCAAATGGATTAGCAAATTCAGATAACATGAATCAGAATTGTCCCTTATATAACCCCATCACTCGTCTCACCACGATTCTAAAATCCACTGGCTAGCCAAGTCCAAAACAAATCCTAGGTATTCAATTAAACCTAGGCTCGGATATCACTCAATCTGCTCTAATGCCACTCAATCTAGAGGTGCTTAATTTAATCTTAAGCTCTTAATTTAAACTTAAGCTCTTATTTTAAATCTAAGCTCTTAATTTAAACCAAGCTCTTAATTTCAACCTAAGCTCTGATACCACTAAATCTGTCACGCCCCAGAACCCAAATCCGAGGACGTGGCAGACGCCGTACACTCGTGGGACGGGTCCCACAAATGCACAAGGCTCAAAACTTATTATATCACGCTCTGATACCATCAAAATCTGAAGATCAAATCTTTAAAATCTCTCTGATATCATAAAATCTCCAAATACACTTTCGCTTACAAGATCACGATCTCTAGAATCTAAATCAATCTCGAAATAGCTAGCTTTCTAACTCGTCACTTCCCGTGGTTTCCCTGTCCTCGGTTTCACTTCCTGAAATGGTGGACAAGGAAAACTATGAGATAAACTCAGT